AGCAAAAAATAAAAAAAAAACGTAGGAAAAAAACATTCTTCAAACTCTTACACAAACACTTTACTTAGAATCAAGCACCCTACACAAAATATTCAACAAAAACACAGTAAAAATCAGCTACAGTTGCACAAGAACATGGCACAAATAATAAAAAAAAGCACAACAGGAAAATTATCAACAAACCACACAAAACAAATTAAACCCACTCTGTGCAACTGCAGAATAAAGAACGAATGTCCCTTAAACTGTAATTGTTTACAAAACAACGTAATATACCAAGCCGCGATAAAATCTCCAGATAATGAAGAAAACTATACATAGGAGTAACTGAAGGAGCCTGGAAACAAAGAAATTATGCACACAAAACATCTTTCACCATTAGTAAATATGCAAACAGCACAATACTTTCTAAGTATATCTGGGAAATTAGAAACAAAACGCACATCACACCAAAAATATCTTGGAAAATAAGGAAAAATCATCAGCCTACAACAACCAATCAAAAACTTACAAACTTTGCTTGGAGGAAAAATAGCTATCATTACTTTCCCAGACCAAAATAAATTATTAAATAAAAGATCCGAGCTCATCTCAAAATGCAGGCATGAAAAAATTTTTTACTACGTAACCTAAAAAAATGAAAAACGGAAAAAATAAAACAGAAAACAAAAAAAAAAAAAAAAAAAAAAAAAATAAATAAAATAAATAAAAAATAAATAAATAAATAACTATATTTGCTTAAAAAATAAAAAAAAGAAAAATATAAAAATAAATTGACCTAAATTCATCCAATAAAAATAAATAAATAGGCAAACCAATATATAAAAATATTCCGAAAAAAAATAAGAATGAACACAAAAACCAACCCCAAAATTGAACAAATAGCATTAAACAAACTGTCAAACTAAAACAAAACTATAAATACGTTTAATAAAAATAAATAAAAAAAAAAAAAATAAATAAAAAAATAAAAAAATAAATAAAAACGAGCAATATAACTTGAAAAATAAATGAACAAAGCAACTTCCGGTAAAAATAACCGCCATAATAGAATACCCACAATGCACCACTAACCCGTTATATATAAATAGCCGAGAAAAATAACAGCACACGTGGCCTGACGATTGCATATAGCATGAAACAGACTGTCGCCTCTAAGTGTTGAAAAATGTTCAAATATATATAATATAAATTAAAATATAAAATTTCCTATAAAACCAAAACAAAAATATAAATTAAACCCTTAGATAACGTTAATTTTTTAACTAACATTAATAAAACATCAAAAACGCACCTTCGACCGTGTCGCTGGCACCATTGGCAATTTTCTATAAAATAAAAATATAAAATATTTCCATTTTTCCAATTTAATTTCTTCAATTGAAAACTGCTGAATCCATGAGTCAAAAATTATTTCAGTCATTGTAATGAGAAAAGTACCTTTCGATTTAAATATATATTGTGTTATATATATAATTTTGTTATATATTTCATGCATACCTAAACTATATATAAAAATATTTCTTTATAACTTTTTTCCAAAGATGAAATCCTTTTAATAGGTATTAAATTGTGGAATTTCTCATCCATCCATGTCTACTAGGATTTTTCATTCAATTTTATAGGGCAAAGTGACCTGGGGCCTTATTTTACCGTTCGAATTTTATGTGGATTACTTACATTAAATTTTTTTTTATCAATTATTAAATTTTTTTCAGCATGTGTCAAAAATTTCAGTTTTTCTAAACATTTCCACAAGTTTCTAAAGTAATTAAACCAAGTATTTCTTTTTAATTAAAATATATTTTTATGTCAAAACTGTGGTCAGTTTCGTCACGGTGAACAACCAGTGAAGTTTGTGGTTTTTTTTTTGGTTTTTAAATGTCTATATAGTCTTTTGATTAAACTTTTGAGGTTTCTCCAATATATTCTTTAAAATCATTGCTGGTGATAGAGTACATTTCTCCTTCAATTTTTGGCTGGTTGCTTTGTATTGATTAATTAGTTGTGACAAATTTTATGTTGAGTTTAGATAAATTATTTTCGGTTGTAATTATTTTAGAGTTTGGGAGCAGAATAATATATTTTTTGATTCGCTTTCATCCGTTATATATATATATATATATATATATATATATATATATATATAGAGAGAGAGAGATATAGATAGATAGATAGATAAACCTAGTGAAGCCAGACAAACCTACCTTGTTTCACCTAAACAGATCTTCAGGAAATCCAGCTCTTTCTTTTTTAAACCTTTTTTTTCCGAGGTTGATTTGATTATTGCCAAATCAAAATTTCGACAAAATCAAAACGAGTATAGTTATCTATCTATCTATCTATGTATATATTATATATATATATATATATATATATATATATATATATATATATGTATGTGTTTGTGTGTGTGTGTGTTAATAATAATAAATCCTGTTCAATTAATGGCAAATTTGGATAAATGCAATTGTGTTTGTTTGAGAAATAATTATCTTAGATCATTTAAATAATCTGGGTTTACTAAATAAAAGAAAAGAACTAATGGTCATATGTAGGCATAAAAATAAATAAGAATTTATTTGATCATCTCTATACGTATGTAATCGCACGCATATACTGTCGTTAATATTTCTTTATTTAGATCATATTCACACATACACACGCACACGCAAACACACACACACCCACACACACAAAAATTCTTCTCCCTCCAGCTAAGGGTAAATAGTAGGACAGGTGAGTTCTATAGCCTTGGATAGCAACTGGTCTGGGAGGATAAATCAGAATTCAAAACCTGAGGAGAATAGTTTGGGAACCTTGTGGCACGTAGTGCTCCAGGACTCCGTATTCAGTCCTTCAAAAAGTGTGGATGGTTCTGCACAAAACCTTCCCAACTATAATCAAATATTATGTGCTGGTGTCGGGCTGTCGGTTTCCTAGCAAATGATCTCCTTGACGTCGAATTAGACGGGAGAGTCGATTATATTTTTAATTAAAGAATATCAAACAAAATAAAAATCTCATAGCTAACAATTTTTATTTCATGAGAGCACAAAAATAACAGCATCTTTCAATCTCCAATGTATATATATATATATATATATATATATATATATATTTTTAATCTTAGCTGTCAATATAAAAATAACACCGTTGAGCGCTTAACCTTTCAAGCGGATAGAATGGAGATCAACATGTTTTAGTGGACTTTCTGATGCCACTTAAATTAAACGCACAAAATTTCATAACTGAATCAATAAGCTGTCAAATCCTCAAAATACGGAAAAAACCGATATAAAGAATATATATATATATATATATATATATATATATATATGTGTGTGTGTGTGTTGCATTATTATTATTATTATTTTATTAATTAAAGAATATCAAACACTTAAAATCCCATAGGTAATTTTTTTTGCATTAGAGCACTTAAAGACAGCAGCTTATATAATCTTAAAAATATATAATATATATATATATATATATATATATATATATATATTTTTGAAAAAATATATTAAAAAATTAAAATCTTCAGAGACACTGGGTTGTAGATTAATATTCTTTCGTTTTTTTTTTATTATTATTTCATTTAGATTCCTCGACTAGTTTCGGCCAAAATGCCCATCATCGGGAGGAGAAATATTTCTGCTTGCTGGTAGCAGTAAACTACAGAAATGAATGTCTTTTGCTGGAGAAAATGAACTTTTGTCTGTAGTTTTCATTTGTATTTTTATTTTTTTTATCTTTTTAACATAAATCTTTTAACATTTATGTGTTGGTCAAACAATCTATTTTAAGTTGTTATTTCAGATAAGAGCTATTTAATTATATCCATGCTGCTGAATTCCTCTGGTCAGTTTGACAGTTTTATTTGTTCCTGGAGAGGAGATGTGTCTCTGTTAAGTGTTTGTTTATGTGTTTATTTGGTTCTCATGGAATGAGTGAATATGATATGTGTAACATGTGCATTGCTGTGGTGTGTGTTATCATTTGGCTCATTATAAAGTGAGTGAGTATGATGTGTGTAAAAAACACTATATTCATGTGGGTGTGTGTATAAGTGTGAGGCCAGAACACCTCCTTATATATATATAATATTAATTAAAGAATATCAAACACTTAAAATCCCATAGGTAATACTTTTTATTTCATGAGAGCTCTAAAAGCAGCTGTCAATCTTCAAAACTTACAAAGAAAATCACAAATGAATGGAAAAATATTCCGGATTAAAGAATATTGCTATTGAGAGCTGCTGTTTTTTCGAATTCCACTCGAATCCATCACATTCACTTACGTGATAGGTGTTAATCTTCTCTCTCCAGCTATGGGCAAAATAGCAGTACAGACTGGGTTCTAAAGCCTTGGATGGCAACTGGTCTAGGAGAAGGACAACTCTGAATTTAAAACCTGCGGAGTGTCGTTTTGGGACCTTGTGACATGTAGTGCACCAGGTCTCTGTATTCGGCCCTTCAGAAACTGTGGATGGTTCTGAACAAAATCTTCACCATTATAATCAAATCTCAGGTGCTGGTGTTGGGTTTTCGGTTCCTCATACATCGAATTCGACGGGAGAGTTAAGTATATATGTCCAGATAATTACTGCCACAATTGGTTAATATCAATTTTATTGTCAAACATTGACTTGCATTGATATTGCGATAAGTATATATATTGTCTATTGTACGTGTCTGTGTTTGCACGATTCTTTCTCACTCTCTCTCTCTCTCTCTGTGTGTGTGTATGTGTGTGTGTGTATCTCCCCCTTATTTTCTATTTCATTATTCAGTTCAACTTCGAGTTGAATCTCTTGACAGCTGTTGACCCATTCACAGCCATTGCAGATGGAGGATTTCATGCATCATTTTTCAGTTTCTAATTTGGATTTTAAAAAATTTTATTATTTATTTTTACTCCAGCGTTGCTTCTTTTTGAACAAATTTCTTTCTTTTTTTTTCTTTCTTTATCATAATCCTTAATTTTTCTTTCAGTCTTTTTCTTTCATATCATTTCTCTTTCTTCTTATAATTGTTCTTTTCATTTTTCTTTTCATTTTATTATTTATAATTCACTCATTGTTTTTATACTTTCTTTATTTCTTTTTTCTAACCCACGATTTCTTTCTTCCTCATAATGATGCCGTTTTTCTTTCTTTTTTCTTTCTTTCTTTTAATGACCCTCTTTCTTGGGTTCTTTTTTTTTGTTTTTCTTTCTTTCTTTCTTTCTTTCTTTCTTTCTTTCTTTCTTATAATCATTCTTTTTCTTTCTTCATTTGTTTCTTTCTTTTTCATGACCATCTCCGGTTTGTTGTCATTTCTTTCTTATCAACCTCTTTCTTTCTTTCTTTCTTTCTTCTAACCGATGTTTTCTTTCTTTCTTTCCTTTTTTTTTCTTTTTCTTTCTTTCTTTTCTTTCTTCTAACCTTTGATTTCTTTCTTTCTTTCTTTAACTTTTCTTTCTTTCTTTCTTTCTTTCTTTTCTTTCTTCTAACCGATGATTTCTTTCTTTCTTTCTTTTATCTTTTTTCTTTCTTCTTTTCTTTTCTTTTTTCTTTCTTTCTTTCTTTCTTTCTTCTAACCGATGATTTCTTTCTTTTTTCTTTCTTTCTTTCTTTCTTTCTTTCTTTCTTTCTTTCTTTCTTCTAACCGATGATTTCTTTCTTTCTTTCTTTCTTTCTTTCTTTCTTTCTTTCTTTCTTTCTTTCTTTCTTTCTTTATTTCTGTGATTAAAACCCCCTGTGCTGCAGCAACAACGACAACAATAACAAAGATTTCGAATTCGCTTTCAGCGGGATTGAACTTACTGACATCTTAATACGCACCTGTCTCTGCAGGCATCGCGAATCGGCGCGAGAAGAGTGCGTAGGTGCGTGTGGGTAGGTGTTGTTCCTCTGCACTTATAACTGCAGTAAACATCTTTGTTATAAGCCAATGAATAACCTCAGAGTGGGTAATTTATATATATATATATATATATATATATATATATATATATATATGATTTAAAGATTTTAAACAGCAGATATTTTATAGATATTCTTATATATATATATATATATATATATATATATAGATAGATAGATAGATAGATAATATTAGTGGTAAATATACACATCCATATGCAATCATATATCTAAAATATATAAATATATATACATACATTGTAGGTCTGATGAATTGGATCGTATTCCAAAATAAATTATGATCATGGAATGTTAGTGTTTAAGCGTTTTTATTAAATATATATATATATATAAAGATATATATATATATATATATATATATATGATTTAAGATTTAAGAAACAGCAGATATTTTATAGATAGTGCTCGATTTTACAAATATGAAAATAATAATAAAGATATAGCTTTAATAATATGTTGTGAGAGTGAGAAAAAGATAAGTAAATTGAAATCAATATTTGATACGTAACCACGAATGTTGACATTATGGTTATTTCGAAAATGACTGGATTCTTGGCTTATTTCCTGTTGTAAATAGACATAGAAAATAAAATTCTGGATATCCAAGGACGATGACTACAAGAGGGTGCCGGTAGGCTGAGTCAATTTCCTCAAAACCTGGCTGCGAATGCATCACTGTAGTTGGAGAGAATGTTCTTTTATACTGTAAATAGCTAATTTTCAGAATTTTTGTTTTGTTTCTTTTAATTTGCTTAGCTTTTAGAAGGCATCTTTCACTATTTCAAATGCGCCTTATGGATTTCAGTGTCGGACTTGCCGACCTCTGTTAAAACGATAACCAGATATTTAAATTGTTGTAGTTGTTTGATTTTGGCATCTCGAATTTGTACTTTGCATGTTGGGCTTTTCTTTTTGCTAACAACCATACAGTCTTCTTACAATTGATGTTTAGTCCTTCCTTCTCGCTTTCTTTCACTAGCTTCTGCATCAGTTGTTTAAGCTCCCTATCTATCGACACTGTGCCATCGGAATTGTTGATTATGACTTAATTTTAGTCGATCGACATCTCTGGAACAAAATAATTGCCGAGAAAGAAGAGATATCCAGGGAATACATTGGATTTGTAGTTCATGAAAAGTTGTGCATACAGATGCGGTTTGCCAAAACGTTTGAATGTCAACAAGAAACGATATTTGATTGGACATCACCAAAGTTGAATTTTCTTGTTCTTTTTTGTTGTTTTTTTCCTATAATCATCACCTTTCTTTCTTTCTTTCTTTCTTTCTTTCTTTCTTTCTTATAATCATCTTTCTTTCTTTCTTTCTTTCTTTGTTTGTTTCTTTCTTTCTTTCTTTCTTTCTTTCTTATGATCTCCTTTCTTTCTTTCTTTCTTTCTTTCTTTCTTTCTTTTCTTTCTTTCTTTCTTATAATTCTTTCTTTTCTTTCTTTCTTTCTTTCTTTCTTTCTTTCTTTCTTTCTTTCTTTCTTATAATCATCTTTCTTTCTTATAGTGATCTCCTTTCTTTCTTTCTTTCTTTCTTTCTTTCTTTCTTTCTTTCTTTCTTTCTTATAATCATCTTTTTCTTTCTTTCTTTCTTTCTTTCTTTTTTTTTCTTTCTTTTTCTTTCTTATAATCATCTTTCTTTCTTTCTTTTTCTTTCTTTCTTTCTTTCTTTCTTTCTTTCTTATAGTTTCTCCTTTTCTTTCTTTTTCTTTCTTTCTTTTTTTCTTTCTTTTCTTTTCTTATAATCATCTTTCTTTCTTTCTCTTTTTTTTTCTTTTTTCTTATAATGATCTCCTTTCTTTCTTTCTTTCTTTCTTTCTTTCTTCCTTTCTTTCTTTCTTTCTTTCTTTCTTTCTTATAATCATTCCCTTTGTTCATTTGTTTGTTTCTTTCTAATGACCATCTCCAGTCTGTCGTCCTTTCTTTTTTATAATCATCCCATTCTTTCTTTCTTTCTTTCTTTCTTTCTTTCTTTCTTTCTTTCTTTCCATACTCTTCTGTGACTCCTGCCAACGACTCTTCAGGAGTAGGCTGAGAATTTACAGCCATCTCCGTCAACTTTGTCAAGGTGGTAAGAAAGGCAATAGGGATTTCTAGACTACTGATACTCAACCACCACACGATCCTCTTAAATGTGCCGCGAAATATTGAAAAAATCGTCAAAATACACCAGACACAGGTTTCGCACTAAATAAGCTGCCGAAATAGTTGAATAGAAACATTGAAATAAAGTCCATATTTACGTGTGTATTTTTTTAAAATCTATAGTTTTATTTCATAACATTTAAAAGTAAAATTTTCCTAAGTCAACCATAATATTTTTATCTGCTCCGATGTGTGCTGAATTAACCCATAGCTGATGTGCCTTTTCTATAAATTTATTCAATACAATTCAAAAGGAATATCCCACATTGGCTAAAAAGCCTTCATCAGTTTGAGTGCAAATTGCCTAGGGATAATTGTTTGGAACGATTTGATATGGTTGATGGAACATCGTTCCACCAATATGATTCAAAGACCAAATAACAATTCTTTCGTTGGCGGTTTTTACGGCCGGGTAAATTAAAACCCCGAAAGTCAGTAGGAAAGGTCATGGCTATCATTTGGTTTTGAATTTGATACAATTGGTTGGCCATACATGGATTCATCTGGGCCCTAAATGATTTTTCATCTCGGACTGAAGAGCCTGTTGATTTATGAATTTAGTAAAGTTTAAAAGTGAAATTTTAAAAGTAGCCAACCAGAGTCTACAAGTAAGTAGAAAGGAAGTGAAACCAATAAATAAATTAAAAGTGTCGGGATAAAGTACCATTCTGGCGGAAGGCAAGGAAATCCGGATGTAGGCTTATATAATCCAGTGACGATTTACCGAGCTGGCAGTCAGATAAAAACCGTATACACTTCGTTAATATTTATATAGACAGGGTGAAACATGAATCGTGATACTGAGGTGAGCAGAGATGCGATAGATGAGATGACAGTCAGTTTTGGAAGAGATACGATTAAAGCAATAGAGTTGGAGTCCTTGAAGGTAGCTCTGGTCCGTTAATCTGTCGTGAGAGAAAACTCAAGTAGCAGCAATGATGTTCCAAGTGTAACTTACCTAGCGATCATATTGTGCCAAGTGAATCTATAAAAAAATATCTAAATATATTGGAAACAAGATTCTTGCTTTTGTTTCTTGAGATGGCGTTACTTACACCTTTATTTCCCTTGTAAACATGCACTGGGCTTTGTTTACAACGACACAAACGAGAATTGAAACCCAACGTGTGGTGTTTTGTCCAGTCGGTGAAAGATTAAGAGTTGCAGGTTTTCAGCGATACGGAATATATATTGATAATCGGCTATCTTGAGAAGATCCAAAATTGAAGACTAAATTGCTGTATTTATTAAAGACGTGGAAAGACGAGAGATGATATGAAAACTTTGTGGTTTTAATGCCTAGACCAAACACTGTATTCATCCGATCATATCATATCTAGTTCCTGTGTCTCTTGAACATCTCTCCCGAGCATCCAGGTTACCATCCTTAAAAATCCTCTGCGCTGGGCGGGTCACGGATTCAGAATACTCTGCCCTTCAAAAAAGTGTGGATGGTTTTGCACTCGACCCTCACGTATTGCCCCGGTTGGAGAACTCGCCAGCGGCAAGCGGCAAGCGGAGGCCCCAAAACGACGCTTTAACGAAGACATCACTGACACAGGGCAAGATCGAGCCTGAGATTTGGGGAAACCGTTGCTGCAAATCGGTCTTCAAGGTGTAGGACCAACCGTGAGAGGGCCCGAGACTTTCGTGTCCAACCGTCAACATGAAGAGGACCTTCGACGTGCTGTCAGGAGGATCCAACACGCTCAGCCGCGTCCACCACCTACACTCTTCTGTGACTCCTGCCCATGACTCTTCACGAGTGGGCTGGGACTTTACAGCCATCTCTGTCAACGTCACTAGAGTGCTAAGAAAGGCAATAGGGATCTCTAGACTACTGATACTCAAACGCCGCGTGATCCTTTTAAATGTGCCGCGAAATATTGAAAAAAAATCGTCAAAATACACCAGACACACGTTTCACATTAAATAAGCTGCAGAAATGAGATGATTTCTTTCTTTCTTTCTTTCTTTCTTTTAATCATCTCATTTCTTTCTTTCTTTCTTCTAACCGATGATTTCTTTCTTTCTTTCTTTCTTTCTTTTGTTCACAGAGCATAAGAGCGTTATCACCAATGCCATCTTCCACTTCTTTATATCTTTCTTTGTTTCTTTTAATCCTCCAATTTCTTTCTTTTTTTCTTTCTTTCTTTCTTTCTTTCTTTCTTTTGATCATCCCATTTCTTTCTTTCTTTCTTTCTTTCTTTCTTTCTTTCTTTATTTCGTCAGCCATGAGATTTTCATTTAGTCCGATGTGTGCTGTTGCTGAAAAAGGTTAAGAAACACTGAATTAATCCATAGCTGAAGTGTCTTTTCTATAAACATATTCGATACAATATATTTTCAATATAAAAGGAATATCCCACATTGGCTAAAAAGGCTTTATCAGTTTGAATGACTACTTCTTATTTAATGTGAATTAGTCTTCTCATCCCTAAATAACATCAAAAATAAGAAGCCAGAAAAAACTACGTTCAATTGAAGAGGAAATAATGGTCGCATATTCCACCAAACATTGAAGAAATCGCAAAATACACCAGACACAGGTTTCACATTAAATAAACTGCATA